GAGAGAAAGAGAGGAAGAAGCAGAAAAAGTGGACGAGGCGGCAGTTTTTAAAAACGCAGCGAAAAAAACCAGGGGCAGCGCAGGGAAAAGGAGACACAAGCTGGTAATACGCGTTACGACGTTACCGCGTTTCCCGTTGGCGGGCTGGCCGGCCGGCGCAGGAGAGCCGCCCCGCCCGGGCCCCCTGACTCTCGTAAAAGCGGCCGCATAACAGAGAGGGGACGGCAGCTGATTGGCTGAGAGGGGAGAATTGCGTGGCCGCCCTAGGCCTGAAGCAGGACTAGCGCCAGGAACAAGGTTTTAATGACAGGAACCAACGCTCGGCCAGTATCAGGGCGGTATTTGATACGCTCGTTACATACGATACGAGACGGTTACTGGTTTCAGCCTTGACGAGGAAAAGTTAGCGGAGAATATCAAGCAGATACGGAGTATACGGAGTATGATAGACAAGAAGAAGAGAAGAAGAAGAAGAGAAGAGGAGAAGAGGACAAGTGAAGGGAGGAGAAAGAAGAAGAGGAGACGAGTAGGAAGACAAAGCAAGGAAAAGGAGGCCCCTTTGCCTTTGTGAGGGAACAGCAAGGCCAACGCTGAAAACGTTGGCTCCTCTTGCTCGCTGGCTGGCTTTGTTGCTTTGGCGCCGGCTTTTCCTTGCTTTTTCCAGTACTTGAATAAGTCAGTCAGGGACGGGGGGACGCGGGGGTGAGAGAGAGCCAGCTGTGGGCCGCTCGGGGGGGTTCGCTTGTCTGTTGGGACGCTGCCTTGGTTGGCCAGACCAGATCGTCGCTGGTGAAACCTGGGAGGTGACGGGCGAGATGAGGTGGCGTGGACGCAGTAGAACGTGACGATCCGACGATGATGCAGTGGTTAGAGCATTCCGCACGGAGTAAAGGAGGTGATGACAGCAGTGATCGTGATCGCGGTGATCGTGATGGAGTGAGTGATGGGCGTCGAAGTCGTCGTCGTCGTCGAAATCGTAGTAAGGTTGGACTAAGCCCCTAGCTAACTAGTTGCTCGTCTATTGCAACGTCTCCCCTATATTTTCGCCTCTCCTTACAACTGCTCTACCCCTATCACCATATTAATATTAATACTAGGACTAGGATTTTATAAGTCATAATCAGCTTGCTTCTGGGCTTCGTGAATGACTTTATCTTCCATACAGAGTGCTCTGTCACTGATAAATACACCGAGCTCCCTGTGCAGTCGCCCCTCCAATAAGAACTTAACATATCCCCTGCCCTGTCCATCCGCTGTAAGCCGCTTCCATGTGCTTCCTGCGTCGAATCATCAAATACAGATGGTTGCCTAGAATGTACATGGTAGCCTAGGATGCAGGTGGTTGCCTAGAATGCAGCAGTTGGTATGTAAAGAAACTGCTTGCTCGCTTCTAGAGTTGCTTTCATCACAAGAAAATAAAGAAAAAAAAAATCACCCAGTGAAAAGAAATAGAATCTGAATCATCCGCTGAGAGCCAGTGTGCAGTTCTAGGTGCCAGGTAAGTCATATCGTTCCATCAACCACAGCTCCCTCCAGCTAGAACCAAGGAGGGCCTCTATCGTACGGCATCTTCGTTCTCCAATACTGGGTATAGAAAGAGATGCCTAACGAAAACACAGCAGCGTCAGCCATGTGCAAAAGAACCTATAGTCGAATCTATTTTGCTTGTCGCCATATCCTCGAAATGCCCGGCAGCCTGATCCCCGAGATAAATTGCGGGGGCTGTGGAATAGAGAAGGGCAGAAATACCAGCGTTGGAAGCACAGTCAAACATACGCCTTGTGATGACTGCCAGGCTTCCGGCCTTTTGGCCTGCACACCCGCTGGAAAATGGTACAAGACTGCAGACGGTGGGCCAAAGAAATTTAACGCTGGCTATAAATTCCCCTGTTGGTATTCCTTAGCTTATGAACCTCCCAAAGAGTCACACCGAATCTGATGGCTTTATATTATAGAATTGCCGACGTTTGGAATATCCATCGCCTCCAGTAGGATGGAATTCGCAGAAACTTGGTTATATGGTGGCAATATCAGCGTACTCCATAGTTGGTTCACTCAGTAGTTAGGCTCAAGGACAACTTAGCTAAATCTTACCTCCGATGCGTTCGCTATACCTGCATATCATGTTCTGTATTCGCTCAGCTACTTCCGTACCGTCTGCCCTTCTGGTTATTCGTGCTTCACAATAAAACCTCGTTTCCTTCTACTGTACTATCTATACTGTACTAAGTATATGTCAATGTCGTGTTACCCAAAACGGCATAGCGTAGATATGTTCAAGAGAGCTGCTGAGACGATCTTCTTCGATTAAGGAGTCAAACAAAATCTCATCCAACACACCAAGCCCGACCTCTGCACGCCCATATATCTACAGACATAGGCCCTTTGACATTTGCCATGGGCTTCCGCTACTCTGATACCCTGGAAAAACATGGCTGCATTGGGGTTGGCGGCTATGCGTACATCTACCTCGTCAGCCCGACCATTGTGGTGAAAACTGTACGCCCTGACCGAGACCATGCAGAGGAGAAGGTGATGGGCCATCCCTTACACGGGGATATCGCTTTTTACAAATCTTTCAACGAGCGCCGTGATCGGTGTCCACATATCGTGGAATGCTTCCTTATGTTTCCCGACCATCTCTTCCTCTCATTCTGCGCGAACAAGGCACTCTTATATCGCTTCCATGAGCGCCAGGAGCGAGAAAATAACGACTTCTTTGGCCGTCTTATCCGTATTAAGGATTACGAGGACCCCGCGCTTATTGCCCGGTGGATACAACAGCTCACATCTGCGCTAGAATACGTGGAGAAAATGGGATTTTGCCATAACGACCTGAATACGTCGAACTGTCTCCTTGATGAGAGACTCAATTTGAAACTCTCTGATTTCGGCCGTGCTACTACCATTGGGCAGCTATTGGAACACTCTCGTGCTCCCTGGGCCATGCAGCTGGCTGCCGGGCCATTACAGGGTACATATGGTCTCTGCTCTGCTAGAACAGAGCAATTTGCAGTTGGCTCCCTCCTCTATTACATGGTCTACGGTCACAAACCCTATGAAGATATCGATCTAGATTGGCCAGAATTAGAATCTCGATTCGAGCAAATGAAATTCCCCGAGCTAAATCGTCATGAAATTTTCGATGGCCTTATACTTGGCTGCTGGTATAATGTTTACCCTACCATGGCACTGGTAGCATATGATTTCAAGCGCAAAACAAAAGACTTTGCATCAACCATGGAATATGAGACCACTGACCGCCTGCAGGAGAGAAAAACCTGCGAGGCGCTGGTACGAAAAGGGATACTGGGTCCCGAGTTGGCACTTCGCTACCAGCCACTCTGGAAAAAGTATCTGCATGCTTTGAAAAGTACGTTTGTTTGGCACTACTTGGTTGGCCTTCCAAGGAGAGTCTGGTTTTGGTCCTGGTTTTGATCCTGGGGTTTCGGCTGCAGGAAGAGGGTTTGGCACAACCTAGTAAAACAGACCATGTCACCATGTGTATTATTATATCTTCACTTTCTAGAGCAACTCTCCGTAGATATGGGACATGGCCCGTTACACATTCCATTTCTGCAGATGCGTACGGCGTAGCTGTTCCTGATCCACAGTTGGGATAACCAGTCATGTGATGCGACTCCCGCCCGGTTCACGCGATGGCCAGATCCGCGGATTTACTCGCTGTAGATCTCCTGTACAACAACGCCGACGACAACGACAACGACGACGACGACGACGACGGCAGCGGCGGCCAAATATGAGTCCTGGGTAGATGAGACGGAGAAGACGATGACGGAAATCAACAGATATCCGTACTTCCACCCGACCTGCCCACTCTGCCAGCACGACGTCGCCATCGAACACACTTCCAGCTATCGTCTCTTCCCACTACACCAGTCACGCTACTTCGACTCTCTCCAGGAACAGCCCCAGTACACAGACGGCCGTGTCTTCGTCCAGGGAGTTCTCTTCCAAATCAAACGGTTCCCAGGTGTCAGATACACAGACAGGGCGGTGCTCATCCACTGCCGCTGTCTCTCCATCATCAGCCACTTGGCGCCCGGCAGCGTCAGCCGGTTGCTCGACCTGATAGAGCCTACTTTCTTGCCCTCCTCGACAGGACCGGTAGATGAACACGGCGCTTTTCACCACGTCGATGGTCCCAATAATAATACCATTAATAGTGCAAGTATAGATATAGATGTCAGAAAAGGGATTTCTAAACTCCCAAATGAAGTATGGAACTTGATATCAAAGTATGATGTGGGCAGACTAGAGTTCATCGTCAGGCTGGCAGCCCAGCTTCAGCCTCTATCTGCCTCTCCCCTGCTCATATTGGACTCCAGGTTCGAGCTCGAAACCGTAGATGTACGCGGGGACACTGTCAGAATTCATCTTGTGCGGGTTGGTGGTCGTGTGTACATCAGCCATCTCTCAGATCCTGAAGACGGTGCTTCTACCCCTACCAAGGAGCATGATAGAAATACCCTGCCATATAGGGACTACCAGTTTGGAGACAGCACATTTCTAGCCGTCAAGACAGACAGTATTGGTGTGGTTGATATAGCTCTGGATGAAAGTGATGGTCGACCAAACTGGATATTCGACCATCCCACCGCCCCCTTTAAAAAGCAGATATCCAGAGTCAGAGATGCAGATCTACATAGGCTACGACTTGTTTGTGATGTACCGTACTCTTAGATTCCCGTTCAGATTTTTCCCCTACTAACCAATGTTCCAGTCAATGAAATGTCGAGCCATACTGCCCACTAACAGAGGTGGGATTGAGCCTTATTTCGATGCAGATAGTATGCCGCCGGGAAACTCATGGATCAACTCCAGCATACGAGTAGGCTCCTGGCCAACACAGCAGTCTGATCCATCCACATACCTTGCCCACGCCACCTATATCTCCTTCCAAAAAGCTCAGTCAGTCACTTTCTACACAGATCTTGTCCGTCGTGGCATCACGGAAGTATACATCAACGAGCGCCAGCACCGCGGCTACTCCGTTTCTTTCCCAGACGTACAGCCATCTAGGACTGTACGCTTGTCCGTTTGTCGCCGCGGTTATGGACAACAACATCCTTTCATACAGGTAACCGCCTTTTTTTTTTTTTTTTTTTTTAATTGGTACGTTATGTATTAACGAGCAATAGTTTGAAATCAACGGATCATGGCTTCCCGCCCTGCCACAGAGCGGTATCGTTATCCAGCAAGTTGTTCTCGACCACGTCATTGGCATTTGGCTGGGCGAGACGTTCCCGCTCCAACCAGTCCATATTGGTGTTGTGAGGGACGAGTCTGCGCCCCCACTACTGCCGGGTGACCAGATGCCGAAAGTTCCCGACTTATCCATGTTCACCAGTAGATGGTAGCATGTATGTCACTGCCTCGTCCTTTCTTCTAACGCTTTTTGCCCTCTATGATCCAGGTCTGGATATGGTTGAGTTTAATCTACGGAGTATTTTGGTGCGGGATCGGGGATTCGGGGGCGCTAAGTAAAAAAAAAAAAAAAAGATCTCTCGGTTGACCCACAGCGAAAACCACGCTTTGATCAATGACTGACAAAGGAGAATGATGAGAATGAAAGGTGAAGAGAAAAAGACCTCGGTCTAGACTTGAGGCGGTATGAGTTACGAATGATGAATTTCATGTACGATAGATACGACGACATTTTTTTGTAAAGAACGACATTACACAGTGAGTGAAAAATCTGACACTTTTGCCTCTCAGGTGAGTATCCAACCAAAAAACGTCCTATATTCTGTCTACCACGTTAATAATACAACAGTGGCAATATCACATTCACTCAAGAAGAACTACATCTCTCTTATCACCACCCTCGCCATCCCCCTTCTGAGCCGGCCCAGCTTCGTCCTCCCACTCTTCCTCTCCCAACAGTTCCCACTCCGCATTGGCCATCTCGCCCAATAAGGTGGATTTCAATTTGTCTGCAATCTTCATGGGAGATGGCAACTTCCACGTTTTCATAAATTCCATTCCTTCCGATGAACCGAGGAAGGTATGTGCCGAGCCATGTGAGAAGTGACCGAGTATTGGCAGGGATCGCGTTCGTCGTAGGCCATTCTCACCCTCCTTCTCATATGTATTTGCGCCTGTGTTGGCGTCATTGTTTGCTTGTCCACTTACCAGGGCTTTGAGAAGTGGTTCGGGAGCAACTAGAAGTTGCCAGAGGTTCCTACCGATATCACAGACGTCTTCCCATGACTCAGAGCCTAGATGTAGACCCTGAGTTCGGCATAGCCAGGATACATTCCATGCTAGTAGAGACACGCCTTCTATGAAGAGTGCGTAGCCCGTAGGATCTTCCTTGGCAAGTTTAGGCAGTGACCGGTCGATGAAGAGCGGTCGAGGACGTGGGAGGAGCATTGCATCTGCGCTTCGGGCGTTGTGCATTGATTGGGTGGGAGAGAAATTGGGTGAAGAGCTGAGAGAGTCCTGCCGGCATGGCATGTAAGATGATGAAAGTGTATATATTGCTGGTAAAGGATGGCCACGGTGAGGCACCACCACCTCAGCAGGGAGCCTCAATCCAAGATAATGCGATACCAATACTAGCATCCGGGAGAGATTCCCTAGAGATGCAGTTATATGTGCGGGATTTGCACCTACAATCCATGAGTTAGCGATATGTATATGTGAGTAAAGTGGTTTATGCTTACTATTCATCTGGCGAAGATCGACAATGTTGACGCCTCCAATGGAGAACTGATTCATCAAATCTCCCTTCTTCCGCCTCGTTCTCTGACGGAAGCCGAAAAGACTAGCTACCTCCCGACTAAGGAACACTCGTGACTCTACCGCCTTTTCGTGAATGCTGTTCCACTGTTTCTCCTTGCCCTTGATGCTCTTCTGGACGGTTGCCAAAGCCCGAGCCCGCCGGCTAGCCACCTCGTAGTTAGCTGATTCTGCATCGGATCGTCGCTGGGCCAGAGCTGCTCGTCGCCTAGCAATCTCCTTCTTCCCATCTGCAATCTCTTTCTCCAGCGTAGATATGTGAGACCGTATATCTTCCGTTCGCGAAGTGGACTGCGATATAGCGGTGCGCTTTGTCTGCATCAGCAACCTTGACGGTTCCGGCTCAACTCCACCAACATCCTTAGATAGTCGCGGAATATCACCGCCGCTTGACAGTATCTCTGCGTTCTCCCGCGCATTCCTCGCTATTGACGCTTCGATCTGCACTCCAGCTGCATCCTTGTCCAGCAGCACTTTCGCATGGTTGTAACGTAGCCCGTATAGCTGGTTACGGGCGCAGGTTGGGCAGTAAAATCCCAGCCGTGAACTAGGCGGCTGCGAACATACGTGGCAGCCCATATCAGGTAATCCTTAGCAGCTTCGTCGTACTCAGGCTTCCAGAGCCTCTCCAATCCAAGCAGGTTGTGCCTTTTCGCCGGACCCCAGGGAGCAGCGATGAACCACTGAACATGTATTGGGTCATGGCTTGGTGCCGTTAGAAGCAAAGATCTCTCTTATTTATCGTAGTTCCTGGGGGTGTCTGGTCATGATATCAACCCGTGACAGTCCACAAAAGCGCCGTTTCATTCTCCGTCTGTCTCCGTGATCGTTGTCGGTGAGCTTCCAAGGTCGTTGATATCATCGGTCGTTGACAGGCGGCGGCCCGATGATGTCACCTGATCCAGGCAGGCGACCTGCACAACTGCCGAAACCGTAAAGTTTGTCTTGTTTGCATTGTGCAGTTGGGTGTTTATCAAACATGCCGAAAAGGGAAACACTTGGTGCATCGCGGGCTCAAAAACGTCTGATATCAAAATAATTGTATTTGACACTTGAATAGTTGCAGAGATCCAAAGAACAGAACAGCTTGTTGCAATGAACACAGACACCGAGACAGAAGATAGGAGTGGAACACCCGTGCCAGGCTCTTCTCTTGATCCAGATTCCCCCATGGTGGACTCCCCCATCTACCCCCGGAGCCCAAAAATCAACATGGCTTCAAGGGAGGTAGAAGAAGAAGAGGAAGACGACGATGGAGAAGCATTCATTACAGTTGCACCTGCGTCTGTACCTGCGTCACCTACTAAAGAAACTGTGATTGAAGCCATGGTAGAACCCAGGACGGAGCCCAGGCCTCGTCCAAGGAAATCACTTATACCCACTCCCAAATCGAAACACGTCCCGAAATACATACCTAAACAAACACCCAAACAAACAAACAAACCCAGTCCCAGGAAAGACGACGGACTCTCTGGCTTAGCTCATGAACTGGCAGGTTGCACATGGGAACAATTGCAACAACGGTTTACTGAAGAGATGGACGAAAGGTCTAAAGCTGAAAATATTCTGCAAAAAGAGACTGCTGATCTCCTTGAAGTTAGTCTCGCTACTCTACTACAGTTTAATGTTTTGTTCTAACTAGCCTTTGTTTGCTTGCTGCGTAGGTATTCATGGCGTGGTCACAGACAACCACGTTCCGAGACGAAGATAGAGCGTATAAGAGGTTTGTGGAGCCTGTCTGAATGTCTCACCCGAACATAACATAGCAAACTAACCAAAACTAGGTTTAAAACTCGGATGGACCATGTCCAGAAGTCAGAAACAAACTTGGAAGAGAAGAAAGCACATTGTACGTGAGATCCTGCTATGCCCACAGCTTAGCTTTGCTAACCTGGTACACAGATGCCAACGTGGTCAAGGCGTTTGAAAGCGCTCTTGCTCTTCTACGGACAGAATGAACCCCCACAAATAATAATCGATATAAGATGAATCAGTATTTAATGTATATTATGAAATTTCCTCCGGGATTATGAATATGGGCATGTAGAATATTGCCCTAGTTATGAAAGAAGCCCTCAGGGCCTGGTATGTAATAATGCAGCAAGTTGTTCCCGCCTTTCCTTCCTTCCCCATCCTTCAACCCACCATTATAAACCATCCGCATTATAGACCATCCGCCCAAAGTTTCATAAGCCTCAATGTCCATCATGATATCCATTATCACGAGAACCTCTACCTGCAGCGGCAGGGTGTGGGGCGGGTGCTCGGCCCATGATATCCTCCCATGTAGCACCGAACCTCCTGCCCGTAGAGGCAAGCAGTCCCTCCTCCTCGGCTTCCTCAGCGTCCTCGTCTAGTTGCTGCTCATCAAGTCTCGGAGTCCTGAAGAGCATAGTGACGAAGACAATGAGTGACATACCTATGGTAGTGACATTAGCGATAACCCAATACCCGGTTGACTAAGGAGATGTCCTTACCTAGGAAAGCAAACTGAGCCCAGAAATTAACCATGCCAAAGAATGGATAGTTAAGCGTTATTCGGTTCAAGAAGACGCTAACGACGCTGGGTGTACAGACGTCCTTGGCCGAGTGGTTTTCTGTCAACTCAGAACAAGGCTTTACATCCTGAGGCCGGTGTTCGCAGCTTAAACTGTGTTCTCCATGGTCGGATGGAATGTCACAGAATGTCTGTGGGCCATAGGTCGCATACTGAGGTGCCACCATCATGGATATAGAGAAGTTGAGGGCGAGAATGATAAGGGCAAGCAACACAGTGGCAAGTAGTAACGCCTGAGGAGTGGTGTGCCCCTTTCGTATACCGAAAATTCTAACCCATAGGAATCGAATGCCGACGGTTGCAACACCAATAACAGAGCTGCTGAAAAAGTGTAGCACCAGCACTATAAAAAGTACATAGTCGATGGGGAAAACTTTCGCGGATTCAAGAAGGGCCCAATTAATAGGGTTGAACACGTTAACCTTCGCTAGGATATAACCACAATTGTGTTTGCAAATAGAATTCGTCGCCTTGTCGATCCCCGTCAGCAGCATCGAGACCCAGATCACAATGGAAAGTAGGAGCAGGAGCAGCCCCCCGAGAAGCTTAATGGGACGAAATACGGCCTCTATTTTGTGCCATGCTTTAACTAAAAAGCCTCTTCCGTCACCCGCATTAGATTCCGCAAGGCGTTGTCGACGTCTTAAAGTGCGCTCCTCGCGAACAAGCGAGTCAAGCTCTCGCCGCTCCTTCGATGATAGATGATCAAGGTTGCCTCCGCACCGCCCTTCGAGCTGACGCTGGCGTTCAACATTCTCCTCCAGCCTTGATGCTGTTGTGGCGTATAGAGACGGACTAGAGACCGAGGGAGCTGTTTTGATAAACGACACCGGGAAGAGTGCAAGGCCAGCTGAGGTATAAAGCACGTAAACAATGATTCCAATCATTGTTAGTAAACCCAGAGCAAACGTCAACGCTCTTTCGCCATCTAGAGTTACAAAGAAAGGTCAGATTAATTTGTCGCTAATAAGTGAAGTTCCACACAAATACGCACTATTCTCTGTGAGCAGATGTTTAAAGTAGTCGAGATCAAGCCCTGCTCCAGCTCTATTTCGAGCAACTGGCACGAAAAATCCGACCAGAAAGAGAATCACCGTCACGACCAGGAAGGCAATCGTGTAGCGAAAAGCGCCCCAGAATCTCTTTCCGAAGGCATTCCAGTCCTGCTGTTCAGCAAGCTCGTCATATTCCTCGTACCAGAAGTACGTGAACGGAATAACGAGCAAGCAGAGAATGGTATCAAGCGAGTAAAGGGAGTAATAGACGATCGTGAGAGATTGCACGATACTGGCAACGACATCCGGAGTTGCCCAATCCTTCCTCTGGCCCAGTTTGCGCGAGTTGGTAGATGATATCAACGCAATGTCCACAGGTAAAAGTAAAACGGTAGCTAGCAAAGCTGACACGGTGAGAATGCACACGGCTGATACCAGGCCTGATCGCTCTCTCGGCGCCTGGTAGACATAGACAAAGACCGAAGCTATCGCGATCAAGATCGCGACAACAACAGCATACACGATCCAGATCAGGCTGGACTGGAGAAGGGTCATCTTGCGGGTGCTGAACTGGCGGAATATCTTTACACAGCGTTCAAGCAAACCAAATCCGTCAAAAATAACTGGCAAAGAGGCGCTATTCTAACATCGTTCATGCCGTCCGTTGAGGTTGTCGTTGGCGTCGTTCGCTGTTTGTTTCAAGCTTCATTTCTTGGTCAGGTCAGTAGGTTTTGTCGTCATAGTCACGTGATGCAACTCCTGCCCGCCCGCACAAGGTTTGCGGCTCTTTTAAGCTCCTTCGATAACTAGTTAGTGAAGAAAAGGGATATAAAATCTACATCCGCGGCCAACGGTCAAAAAGCAAGATTTACTTTCTTGCCACAGGTTTGGACACGTCAGGTTACTCATGGAAGTGCTTGCGCAGCGTCATACTACGAACAGCCTTTCCTTGACCCTGCCTTTTTGACGCGTAGTTTGAACAAACTACTTGCAGAGGCGCTGCGCGCTGCTCGGACAGGGATACCCAGGGGTGGATCAGCATCTTTCTAGGAAGCCTAAAAAAGGGAAAAAAGGAAGGGGAGATCTTTGAGATGCATCAAAAGCCGAATGGAATTCCCCAGAAGAAAGCTAAATATTTCGGTGAGAGCTCGCCTCATGATCTCAGGGACCTGGAGCGAAATGCAGCAAAGGCAAAGCAATGCCAGCTAGCCAAGGCGGCCTCCTACCTTGAGCAAGCGTTTGCTGGTATTAAGACTGCTTGGTTTGGGGGATGGGCAATGAATCTGCGTGGATCACTCCGGGAGACGCACGGCCTTAGTCTCCTCATCCTCGCCAAAGACACGGCCGAGATAAGATCTGTCCTAGAGCAGTACAATTGGTATGACATTGCTGCAAGCCGGTAAATCTATGGCTAAATTCAAAAACAGGGCATTGCTATCATTTCACCTCGTCTCTGGCACAGTTCAAGAGAGACTTTTTGTGGATATTGGAGAGGAGGGCCAGGTTGTTGGTGCTAACATCACACTTTCAGGTTAGATATACTCAACACCCAGTGCCCCAACAGTGGTGGTTATCCTATAATGTATACTGACCTCCGTTTGTTCACAGGCGCCTTAGGCACACCAAAGCTGGACGAAGCAGAATCTTACGAGTCTATAACCCCAGCATTCCCTACACCGCAAGGTAGTCGGGTCAAAGTCATCCATATAACATGGCAAGTTGAGACAAAACTCAACGCATGGTTTTCCAACAGAAAACTCTCCGATCTTCTAGACCTGCAATTCTTGCTAGAAACCTATAAGAACGAAATTGCTAGGTGGAGTCAATTTCTAGACAAGGACATGCGAGAGACTTTCTACGCGGTCTACATAGCTGCAGTGGAGGATGAGGAAAAGTGTAAAGTAGCAAAGGAGACCCTCTCCCTGTAATACCCAACGACACCTCATTACGGAAAGCCCCCAAGCTCGTCCAACCTAACATATCCTATGCGCGTAAGGAAGACTATATTTTTTCTGCTTTCTCGGCTG